GCCTCAACTACTGTGATGGTGGTAGTTCTGACTCATAGTGACCCTGTATAGAGTCTCCAAGGCTGTAAATCTTTGGGTAAGCAGAAAGCTTCATCTTTCTTCCAAGGAACAGCTGGTAGTTTTGAACTGCTGACACGTAGCAACTGACTCATTAGCACTATGCTTCCAGAGCTCCTTCCAACTACTGTAAGTAATAACAATATCAAGTAAAGTTGTTTCAGTGCTAAGCATTGCAAATCATGATAAAAGCATCTACGAGTTATTGAAATTCTGGAATTTTAATATATTTACAAATCAAATTTACATCACAAGTAGTTCCAAAACTCAACAAGAGATTTATCATTGGGAGTAGTCCCTCCCACTGGTGGTGTTTAGATGTCTAACCCACTTCAGAGTTGTTGATTCCAACTCAGAGCGACCCCATGGAGGGCTTCCGAGGCTGTCAATCTTTGCAAAACTGTATTCTTCAGGGTAGCTATTGAAATGTTCTTTTTGATGATGAATGTGTCAACACTCCTTTTCATTTTGTCATTCTCTACACAGTAAATTATATGATTAAAAATGACGAATACCAGGTCATTTTAACTCACTAATGCTAGGGATATCAATCTTTATGTATTCATTTCATTTTAGATGGCTTCTAGTTTTCCTACATTTATATTCCATGCATTCCACATTCCAATTATTAATGAATGTTTACAGCTTTTTCTTTGAGAAGGTAGCTCTATCCCCAATTATATTTTGAGTGCCTTCCAACCTGAAGGCCTCATTTTTTCAGCAGTTTATAAGACAATGTTCTGTTCCCATTCCTATAGTTTTCACTAGCATTTATATATATATTTCAATACAAGTGGATTACCAGATCTTTCTTCCTAGTCTTAGACTAGAAGCTCTGCTGAAACCTGTCCACCTGCTGGTATTTGAAATACTGATGTGAAGGGCAGTGAACTACTTCATGTCTCTTCTAGCCATGGTCTTTGTAATTCCCACCAAGCTACTTTTTCCTGATGGATCTAGGTGAGAGAAGGTAGAGGTAAATGCTGATGGATTCCATGATAGTTAACAGTGGTAATTGTGAAAACTTGGAACTCTAGCATGGGTGAAAAAGGAGCATCTCAGAAGCAAGAGCAGGGATCTCTGTTGGAAAGAGAATCAGGAATAGAGTATGGTCTTTAAAGACAAAATACTATGACACCAAAGGAGCAACAGATGAGTGTCCAAGGAGCAGCAGTAGCAGAACTAAGAGCCAGGACATCAGGCAGAATAGTAGGTTTACCAACCCATGGAGTACGGTAAAGCTGAGTGCCTTAGCAGGAGCTCACTTGTGGAGTAGGGTGCCTCCAAGCACTTATTTGGAGAGCTAGGTTTGCTGATGCATGAAACTAGAGATGAGTGCCTTTGGGCTGAGACTTTGGCATTTATTAGCAGTCTTAAAAGAGATTTCTAACATTGCTGAAGCAGGGCAGAGACCAAGTCAAGGTGCTGAGGCCCAGAGAGCAGTCTACCAGTGGGCACGGTGTAGGAGAGTTTGTCCTGATCGGACAAACTGTGCTCTGACATTTCTGATCTTGAATTTTAACCAGTTAAATTCCTTAATAAACTTCATAACTATGAATATGATGTGTCTTGAGTTCTGTGTGGCCATTGCAATGAATTACCAAGCCCAGTTAAGCAATTTGTGTGGAAGGGATCATTGATATCATTCTTACAAGGTGGCGTAGTTTCCAGCATCAGAGCATCCCACAAGCCAGCACAATACAAAAAACTGACAAACAAGTAGTGGTCAGTTAAATATTATTTATTAATGTTATAAATATGTCAATTTCAATAATAGCTCAGCAAAAATTTATTTAGATTGAAACCAGACCTCCAATGCAACAAAAATTTCCTAGATTTTCAGCATTAAAATTTCAAATATTATTTTTTGACCATAAAACATACAAAAATAGGGAAGTTTTTGTAGCATAATCCAAATCAACATGGTTTAGCATTTTCTGTAGTTGCTTCTGGTACAAATTTTATTTTTAAAAAATGAAAGCAAAAAACTGTCCTACCCATACTGATACTTTTGTTCTTTCGACTCTTGACCTTTATCTCTGACAGTGTATCATTAGGTGTACAGACACTTAAACCACATCCTTTAAATCAAGAAGGAAACATTTGTCTATTGTTCTTTTTATTGGACATGCTTTTAAGCTATGTACAATAGCTATGCAGTCTCTGTTTTAATTTAGTAACTGGTTTTGTCCAGTTGATATGCTATTACAAAATCGTTAAAGTGGTTCATTTCCAGTTAAAAGCAAGTCACCTAATGAGAAGTTTCAGAAGAAAATGAGACTACTTCCTAGAAAAAAAAATTTTTCATTTTTAAGAAGCCTCCTAAACATTAGCTGATTGTATTTTATATATATATAATATTGTTGTTCGGTGTCCTCAAGTCATCCCAACTCATAGCTACCCTGTAAACAGTTTTCGAGGAGCTGCTGGTGAGTTTGAACTGCTTAACTTGGAGTTCAAACCTACCTTTCGGTCCAGTGCTTATCCTACAGCAACACAACAGGAACCCATGTGTCAGGAATCCTGCAGTTTCAGCACTGGACTATGAACCGCATGTTTTCGCTGTTTTTAAGTGCCATCGAGACAGTTCTGACTTATAGTGACCCTATGTAGGGTTTCCAAAGAGCAGCTGGTGAATTTGAACCTCCTACCTTGCAATTCAAACTGACCTTGTTATCCACGGCATTATCCCACAGAGCCACACACGACTATATATATGTTGTTGTTGTTAAGTGCTGTCAGGCAGGTTCGGACTCATAGCAGCCCTGTATAAGGTTTCTGAGGAGCAGCTGGTGAGTTTGAACTGCTTATCTTATGGTTCGCAGTCCAGTGCTAATCCTACAGTGCCACACCAGAAGTCATACGTCAAAGGTACTGGGAAACCAGAGAAGGTAAGACACGTACTTAAAGGAATGTCTTCAAGAGGCACTAGAATAAAATATATGTGATTTGTACCTTTCATATATTATCAATGACTTGGTAGTCTCTTCATGAGAAGTTTAAAAAGAAAGCTCAAGGAAAGGCCACAAATATAAACATAGTGCACTGACATTTTAGTGTAATCTTTACTTTCAACTCCACTGATACTTAATTTTATATAAGGTTATTAGCATTTTAGTGAAAATATTCTAGGAAAAAGTATTAAAAGTTTGAATATTTTTCACTATGAAGAAATTTATTTACAAGACTGTTGATAATATTAGTACAGCTTTCTCTCCTCCCTCCCCTCCTTTTTGATAGGACAAACAACAGCATATATAAACTATTGAGAATGATCCAAAAGAGGGAAAACCAGAAAGATATAATATGGATATTTGCATAATATTCTTGGAATGAATCTAGTATGCAATGAAAAGTTGAACTTAGAAAGGGGCACAGATAGTTCATTTGCATAAATAAGGAAGAAATCTGATTATAGGGTAAAAACACTAGTTGTGGTGTGCCATGGAGTCAGTTCTGACGCACCGCAACCCTGAGTAGGGTTTCTGAGGCTGCAAATCTTTACAGGAGCAGAAAGCCTCATCTTTCTTTCAGTCGTTTTGAACTACTGACCTTGAGATTAGCAGCCCAACTCATAACCACTACACTATCAGAGCTAGATAGATCTATTTGGAGTTGGGAAAACATAGGATTTCTCTAACCAAAGCTTTTATTTTCTTGGTAAATTGGCAGTAAGGCCCTTAACTGAGAGGAACAATGGGCAGGAAATGTGTAAGGCTGAAGAAAAAATATATGGAATAGAAGACTGTGAAAAAAAAAAAAAAGGACTAGAAAATGTAATTGTCTAGCTGTTTGAAATGTAATTTGGCATAATGAACTTAAGAGGATCAAGGTAGTTTGAATGTGTATTTTTGCATGCCATGTGCTTATGAAGGAGGAGGGGATAGGAAAAGAGTTTAACCCATGGTTGGGGTCTTGCTAAGGAAGTCAGAGGAGCTGCAGTTTTACTCAGAGCAATGACCACAGTGATTGACCGTGCAATTTAAATGAGGTAAAGAGGAATTTTAATTCTTGAGGTGAGCTTGATGTTGTTAAATTGTTAAGTGCAGTCAAGTAGGTTCTGACCCATAGTCACCCTGTATAGGATTTCTGAGGGGCAGCTGATGAGCTTGAACCACTGACCTTGCAGTTCAAACCAATCTTGCAGTCCAGTGACACACCAGAATGAAAGTTAGTACGATCAATGGCTTATTGGTTTTTCAAAATTCTATCCTGGTATTTCCGGTGTAATTTCTTACACAAAGGTCAAATTTTTCTAATTACTAATCCTTCTTTGTTTCCAATTTTGCATTCCAATCACCAGTTAATACATTTTGATTGCATGTTTGATCAGTTTCAGACTGCAGAAGGTGGTTAAAACTGTTGTCAATTACTTCATCTTTTACATTAGTGGTAAGTACATTTGCTTCAATAATAGTAGTATTAAATAATCTTGCTTCTAAGTATATGAATATGACCCTAACCCTGAGACCTCAGAATGACAGTAAGGCCATTCATTAACTGACAAACAGATAAGTGGTAGAGAATGATTCTGTCATGCTGAATATCTGAATAGTGGGATTTGGGATCACATCAAGTTCACCATAAAGTCAAATATAACAAACACAAGAATGTCATAAATGGTAGTGCTAATGTGAATCTCAAGCTACAGTTTTTTACTCTGTAGTAAAGAAAAAGTCCTAATGTGCAATGTTTATTTATTTATGAGTTTTTGAAACAATCATAGCTAGATTCAGCAAAATTATGAAGTAATTCTGTCAATTTCTAGACTCCATAACTTTTTTTATGAAATCTTTTCCCTTTTTTGGAGTGAGCATTCTCCTTCAACAATTTTGTTCCTATTGTTTTTGCACTCTCCAAATCCTGCCCCACAGAAAACTCCAAAAGTTCATTGAGGCCAGGTTTTAGAATGTGTGACCTTCAGTAAATGTTTCTTTAAACAGGCATAAGCATTTTAAATATTTAAATCTAATTACCATGGAATAAAATATTGTGTTCTCTTTCAAAATAGTTTAAGAACTCAGGCAAACAGACTAAGGAGACTTGGAAGAGGGCAGGAGCACATCTCTAAAAGCATTTATTATTATTATGTATTGGCAAGGTCTGATAAGAAGGTAAACCAACCAGTTGCCGTCTAGTTGATTTTGACGCATGGTGATGTCATGTGTTAGAGTAGAACTGTGCTCTCTAGGATTTTCAATAGTTAATTTTTTTAAAAAGTAGATTCTCAAGCCTTTCTTTGGTGATACCTCTGGGTGTACTTAAACCTCCAACCTTTTGGTTAGCAGCTAAACATGTTACCTGTTTGTACCACTCAGTAAACATCTTTTATTTCAACTAAGTTGTTTCGGAAATGAACAGAACAAGAAAATATTGGTCCTTTCCCCCTTTCTTTGGATTTGTCTGCTTATCTAGAGAGAATAATGTGGCACTGTAGGATAAGCACTGGACTTCTAACTGAAAGGTCAGAAGTTCAAACCCATCAGCCACTTTGAAGGAGGGAGATGAGGCTTTCTGCTCCTAAAAAGAGTTATAGCTTCAGAAATCCTATACAGGGTCGTTATAAGTTGGTATCAACTCCATGGCGGTGTGTTTGGTTTGGGTTTTGAATTTTCGCTTTGGCCACAAAAGACTTTTTTCTGGTAGCAGTTGGGCACAGATGAAAATATGTGATATCACCAAACTATAGAGTTGGTCCTTCTGTTTTTCAGGTGTATCTGACTGCCACCAGAGAGTTCTCTGATTGGCAATCCTCTCTAACCTTCTCAATGCAGACCAGCCTTTCTGATCCTGTGTTAACTTTCCCCTGAATCCCAGAATACCTAGGAATACAATTTATGAATGTTGTTGTTGTTTTTAAGTGCTGTCGAGTCAATTCTGACCCATAGCAACCCTGTATAGGGTTTCCAAGGAGCAGCTGCTGAGCTTGAACCGCTGAATTTGCAGTTCAAACGGATTTGCAGTCTGGCGCATTAACCCACAGCGCCACACCAGGATTCCAATTTATGAATGGTCCCTAATTAATTATATTTCTCAGTAAAATATTGTTTTTACTAGGTTGTCAGTTCTATATGCTTTTTAGGTTTTCTAAATATTTCTAATTATA